GGTGCTGGCAGGTAGGGCTTTTCTCAGTCTGCACATCCTTTATACCTCATTGTTGACTTGTTACCTCCTTAGTAGTCCTTAGTAGCCCATTTCCATCTTCGCTATAAGTAAGGGAAAGTCAGATCTTAGAATCAGTAAAATAAAGTGATGCTTATGAGACATCAATCAAAGAGACGAGCATCGTATTTTATCAGCAAAACGGGGGGTTTTCATTGTGGGTGAGGAATTGTGAAGCTGGACATTCCCTTCCCTCTTCCTATCTGACTTTTCATACATGCTTTGAAAGATAGCCCTGGTAGCTTTCTCCACTCAAAACAAGAGAGTGTTTTCACACACAAGGCCATAATGTGAATGCTGGTCCAAGGTCCAACCTTTTTCCAGCAGTCTCGGGGTTTTGATGTCCTTCAAAGGTTTGCTCACAAAGAAAAGCATTTTAAAACTGAACCACTTTGATCCAGTTCTCTAGCAGTGAGAATGTTAGCTTTTCCCACTCCTTCTCATAGCTGTCTTTGGATTTCTTCTCTTTGCAGGGATCGGGGTTGATCTGGTGTGCATGGGAGAGCAGCCCCTCCACGCAGTGCCGCTTTTTAAGGTAAGGCCTCCTGGCTTGGCCCGTCTCCTTCAGCCTTCCCCCCACACCCCCATCAAGGCAAAGGGTCAACTGTGGCTACTGGCTCTTTCACCAGCATGGTCACCCAGTTCCTCTGCCAGAATAAAGCTTCTGGATGAACTTTTTTAAAATGTGCCTGTATGGTTGTGTTTCTACCATACTTGACATTCATGCAAGCAGCATGGGGTTGCAGACATTATCAGTCTACTTTCAGGCGAATAGAGTAGAGCAGAGCAGAGCAGAGCAGAGCAGAACAGAACAGAACAGAACAGAACAACAGAATAGAATAGAATAGAATAGAATAGAATAGAATAGAATAGAATAGAATAGAATAGAATAGAATAGAATAGAATAGAGCTGGAAGGGACCTTATTATTATTATTTATTATTTATTAAATTTATATACCGCCCTATCTCCCTTACGGGACTCAGGGCGGTGAACAGGCGATACTAAAAACCACAATAATAAATAAATAGTTTCTGTTCTAAAATCGAATTAAATAACAGGCCTGTTCTAAAAACACACCCATACAAAAACCCCCACTGAAACATAATCAAACTATGCCAGGCTGGCCGCACGGAATAGATGGGCCTTCAGGGCTCGGCGAAAAAGGCGCAGGTCCGCAACTGTACGTAGGTCGGGGGGCAGGTCATTCCAGAGGGCAGGAGCTGCCACAGAGAAGGCTCTCCCCCTGGGGGTCGCCAGCCGGCATTGTCTGGCCGACGGCACTCTAAGGAGGCCCTCTCTGTGGGAGCGGACTGGTCGAAGG